AATTGGCTGGGATCATGAGCAAGCAGTGCAAAAAGAGTCAGACCACAGAATCTTACTTTGGTGAAAAAGATGAAAATATACAACCAGAAGAAGACAACAGAGTCAAAGCTCCTACATCCAAAGCCTCCAAGAAAAATATGCATCAGTCCCAGGCCTTGGAAGAGCTCAAAAGGGATTTTGAGAAGCAAGTAAGAAAAGTAGAGGAAAAACTGGGATGAGAAATAAGAGTGATGCAAGAAAAATCATAGGGGCAACTAGCTGGTGCAGTGGATAGAGCACCAGCCCTGGATTCAGGAGGACCTGAGTTCAAATCCGGCCTCAGACATATAACACTTACTAGCTGTGTAACCCTGGGCAAGTCACTTAACCCCATTGCCTAAAATTACAACAACAACAAAAAAAAGAAAGAAAGAAAGAAAGAAAGAAAGAAAGAAAGAAAGAAAGAAAGAAAGAAAGAAAAATCATGAAAAACTAGTCAAGAGCCTGCTAAAGGAGACCCCCAAAAATACTGAAGAAAATAACACCTTAAAAAGTAGCCTAACCCAAATGGCAAAAGATGTCCAAAAAGCCAATGAGAAGAATGCCTTAAAAAGCAGAATTGGACAAATGGAAAAGGAAGTACAAAAGCTCACTGGAGAAAATACTTCCTTAAAAATTAGAATGGAGCAATTGGAAGCTAGTGACTTTATAAGAAATCAAGATATTGTAAAAAAACCCAAAAGAATGAAAAAATAGAAGACAATGTGAAATATCTCATTGGCAAAACAACTGACCTGGAAAATAGATCCAGGAGAGAGAATTTAAAAATTATTGGACTATCTGAAAGCCATGATCAAAAAAAGAACCTAGACTTCATCTTTCAAGAAATTATCAAGGAAAACTGCCCTGATATTCTAGAACCAGAGGGTAAAATAGAAATTGAAAGAATCCACCAATCACCTCCTGAAAGAGATCCCCAAAGGAAAACTCCTAGGAATATTGTAGCCAAATTCCAGAGTTCCCAGGTCAAGGAGAAAATATTGCAAACAGCCAGAAAGAAACAATTCAAGTATCATGGAAAGGCAATCAGGATAACACAAGATTTAGCAGCTTCTACATTAAGGGACCAGAGGGCTTGGAATATGGTATTCTGGAGGGCAAAGGAAAAAGGATTACAGTCAAGTATCACCTACCCAGCAAAACTGGGTATAATCCTTCAAGGGGAAAATGGTCATTCAGTGAAATAGAGATGTTTCAAGCATTCGTGATGAAAAGACCAGAGCTAAACAGAAAATCTGACTTTCAAATACAGGACTCCAGTGGAACATGAAGAGGTAAACAGGAAAGAGAAATCATAAGGGACTTATTAAGGTTGAACTGTTCATATTCCTACATGGAAAGATGATATTTGTAACCCATGAGACCTTTGTCAGTGTTAGGGTAGTGGGAGTTAAAAATTATATGTATAGATAGATTGATAGATAGAGGGTACAGGGTGAGTTGAAGGTGAATGGGTGATATCTGGAGAATAAAATTAAGGGGTGAGAGAGGATTATACTGGGAGAAGGAGAAAGGGAGAGGTAGGATGGGGTAAATTAGCTCATCTAAAACAGACAAGAAAAGGCTTTTATAGTGGAGGGGAAGTGGGGGAAGGTGAGAGAGAATAAGTAAATCTTATTCTCATCTGATTTGGCTTAAGGAGGGAATAACATACACACTCATTTGGGAATGGAAAGCTATCTTACCCTACAGGAAAATAATGGAGAAGGGGATAAGAGAACAAGGGGATGATAGAGGGGAGGGCAGACTGGGGGAAGGGGTAATCAGAAGCAAGCACTTCTGAGGAGGGACAGGATCAAAAGAGAGAATAGAATAACTAGGGGGCGGGATAGGATGAAGGGAAATATAGTTGGTTTTCCACAGCATGACTACTATGGAACTGTTTTGCATGACTACACATTTATAACCTGTATCGAGATGCTTGTCTTCTCAATGACAGCGGGTGGGGAGGGAGAAAGGTCACACAGCTAGTACTCCTCAAGTGTCTGAGGCTGGATTTGAACTCAGGTCCTCCTGACTCCAGGGCCAGTGCTCTATTCACTGCACCACCTAGCTGCCCCTATGTTACACATTCTTAATGAATGCAGTGGATTAGGGTCCCAATTTTTCCACATCCCTTCCAACATTCATTATTTTCCTTTTCTGTCATATTAGCCAATCTGATAGGTGTGAGGTAGTACCTCAGAGTTGTTTGAATTTGCATTTCTTTAATCAATAGTGATTTAGAGCATTTTTCATATGACTATAAATAGCTTTGATTTCTCCATTTGAAAACTGCCTGTTCATATCATTTGACAATTTATCAATTAGGGAATGACTTGTTATCTTATAAATTTGAATCAGTTTTCTATATATATATTTCACCATACTGTTTTCCAGTTTTCCCAACAATTTTTTTTTTGTCAAATAGTGAGTTCTCATCCCCAAAGCTGGGGAATAAAGACGAAACATGTCACTCACTTCCTGACAGGTGATGAATGTTTGGGCATGGCCAGTGTGGGAATTTGTGCTGTTAGATCATGTAGACACATACTGAAGAATTTTCTTTAAAAAACTGCTTACTCCAGAGAAAGAATTGATGTTGTATGAATGCAAACTGAAGTATATTATTTTTCTCTTTCTCTTTCTCTCTTCTTCTTCTTCTTCTTCTTCTTCTTCTTCTTCTTCTTCTTCTTCTTCTTCTTCTTCTTCTTCTTCTCTTCTCTCTCTCTCTCTCTCTCTCTCTCTCTCTCTCTCTCTCTCTCTCTCCTTCTCTCCCTCCCTCCCTCTCTTTCTTGTCTTCTTGCACAAAATGACTAATAGGAAATGTTTTACGTAATTGCACACATATAACCTGTACCAAATTACTTACTGTCTCAGAGAGGAGTGATGGATAGAATTTGGAACTCACAACTTAAAAAAAACCAAACAAATGTTAAAAATTGTTTTTAATGAAAAATTGGGAGAAAACAAAATAGCACTTTAAAAATTGCCTAATGGGGGGAAGCAGATTAATTTAGAAATACCTGCTTTTTGAAAAAATTTAAAAATAAAGGGTGGGGTAAGACTTAGATTAGAGAATCTCTAGGCTTCCTTCAGACTCTAAGCCCTGTGCTTCTATGAGATGAGGATACTAACAGCCATCATTTAAATAATTCTTAAAGCATATAATCTCATTAGATTGTCAGGACCACCTTGTGAAATCAGTATTACAGATATTATACAATGAGGTAGGACTTAAATTCTCATCATCCTAATGGTCCAGTCTTAGCTCACTTTGATCCATTAACTCACACACACACACACACACACACACACACACACACACACACACACACACTACTTCTCAGTGTGACAAAATAAATAGAAGAAGAAGGTACTGAGGGTGAAGGAGTAGAGAAAGGTGGGAGGGGGAAATGGATGCCTGGTCATCTCCCTGCTTCGTACACCTCTCCTCTTCTCTCCTCCCTTTTAGGCAAGCCAAGTGTCACTCTCCAGTCCTTCCCAACCTGTATGGAAACAGTCCTGCCTCTCTCTGGAATATTTCCTTACCCTGGAACCAAGGCATGATAAACATTTGAAATGATCCAGGTTAAGGCTGAGCATGAAACTCCTCACTAGGGGTTCTTTATCTGGGGTCCACAGACCTCAAAGGGGTCCATGGAGAGATTTGAGAGAGCTTATGAACTTGGATGGGAAAAATTACACTTTTATTTTCACTAACATCTAACTAAAATTTAGTATTTTCTTCGATTATTTATAAACATTATTCTGAGTAGACTTCACCAGATTGTCCAAAAGGTTAAGAACACCTGCTTTAAACCCTTGTGCTAGGGTTGGTGCCCTTCAAGGTTTTGAGATATTCTATCATATTCTTTTGAGTCCAGTGAAGCAGCTGGTGGTGCGATGGATGGAGCTCTGTACCTGGAGTCAAGAAAACCTGAATGCAAATCCAGCCTCAGATACTTCTTACCTGTGTGACCTTGTACAAGTCAATTAACCTCTGTTTGCCTCAGTTTCCTCAAATGTAAAATGGGGACAATAACAGTACTTACCTTGCAAGGTTGTTGTCAGGATCAAATGAGATAATAATTGTAAAAATTTCTTAAGCATAGTGCTTGGTACATAGTAAGTGCTATATAAATGCTTTTCCCCTTCCTCCTTACCCTTATTTTCTTTTTGTTATTATTATTAATTTATTTTTATTTATCAACAATCACTTCCATATGCTTTTGAGTTTAAAATTTTTCTCCCCCTGCCTCCCCCCCACCCTCCCCAAGATGGTGCACAATCTGATAAAGGCTTCACATTTACATTCCTATTAAACATATTTTCACATTAGTAAAGTTGTAAGTAAGAATTAGAACCAATAAGAGGAATCACCAGAAAGAGGAAACAAAACTCAACAGAAGAGAAAAATAGCAAATAGTATGCTTCGATCTTCATTCAAACTCCATAGTTCTTTGTTTGGATGTGGAGAGCATTTTCCATCCCGAGGCCTTTGGAGATGTCTCCTTGTATTGCTGTTTACCCTTATTTTCTAACCTAACCTGCCAGGAAGCTATTTATACTTTGAATTCCCCTTGAGGTGACAAGCATTTATCAAGTGCCTACTGTACATAAGGCAGTGGGCTAGGCTCTGGGAATACAGCCACAGAATTAATTTTTACTTAATGTCCATCTGTTCTGCCCAGGTCTCATTTATTCAGAATTTCTCTGAGTGTGTCTCCTCAGCTTGTTTGTTAGTCACCATTGGGGAGCCGTGCCCATTGGATACAGATCCCCACACCAGGCACTGGGGGTAGACTGGAAAGTAAATAAAACAGCCTCTGTTCCTTCTCTTCTCATCCTTTGTGTCTGAAGAGCCTTGAGTGAAAGCTCAAGAGATGGGATTTTGGTCTGAATAGTAAAATGTAGCTCACGATTTGCCCATAAATTAGAGCAAAGAGAAGGAAGAAGATCTGGGGGTCTCTCATACTCACCCAGTGACTTTAGGGGTGGTTTTCTCGTATGAATGTTCATATAGATGTTCTCAGTGTCCATGGTCCTGACTTTCACGGTGCCCGATGCAAACTTTAGGCTTGTAAACTCTCAAAGCTTAGTAGGAAAAACAAGGGGGAAGTTGGTGCATTGGCTTGGCTAAAAATACTCCCACTGAGAGGATGTGTGTAAAAATGTATGTTTATCTTTGGTCTCGTGGACATCCAGTAAATATTAAATCAGATTAAAAAGGAAACAGTTTGCACTATTTCAAAACATCTGTCAAGACTGGATATGGGAAGCCATAACTGCCACTTATATACTGCTATAGGGCTGGCAGATATGTGTCATTTTCTCTGGACCCCTTAGAACTGGAAAGGCAGGTGAGTAAAGAACAAGCCCTGAACTTGAATCTCCAAGAGTAGTGCTGGACCAGCTTCTTGGAGAGCAGTCTCTGAGTAAGGGACAGGTGGTGCTCTCAGCTCTGAGCTACCAATCTTCCTTTTAATCCTTTAATCAGGTTCTCCATCAAGGGTGTGGATATTACCAATAAAGTGATGATTTATCATAATGGCTTATACCATCATTTCCATGAGATTCCTGTCTTCCAAGCTTTGTATATTCTAAAAGGAGCGCTCACTCACATGATAACTCACAGTACATTTACTGGATGGAATCATAAGTAAAAATTATATGAACACTCTCTAGTGGCTGACCCTCTCTAGTGGCTCTTAGAAGGGTCCCAAATCTCAATTTTCCAGTATCTGTCTCCTCTCTTATTTAAATTGGCTTTTTTTTTCTTTTTCTTTTTTTTTTTTTGGAGAGGGGGCTAGGCAATAGGGTTAAGTGACTTGCCCAGGATCACATAGCTAGTGTCAATTGTCTGGGCTGAGACCAGATTTGAATTCAGGTCCTCCTGACTCCAGGGCTGGTGCTCTATTCACTGAGCCACCTAGCTGACCCTAAATTGACTTTCTCAACATCACCAGTGACTGCTTGCTATATTTGTGGATCCCCTCTTCTTCCACCTCTTCTTCTCTCACCTCAGTCTCTCCTTATTTCTATTCACATTGCCTACAAACACATGGCAGTCTACCTCACCCTGAAACAAAACTCCTGGACTCCTTAGACTATCTCTCTTTTCCTTTCACTGTCAAACTGCTAGAATAAATTATCTAAATTCAAGTGGTCTTAACTTCATCATCACCACCACCCTTCTCAATTGCTTGAAATTTGGCTTCCTGCCTCATCTTTTAACAGCAAACCACTTTATCTGAGGTTACTAATGATCTCCTTAAAAAAACTTTTATTTTCATGTTATCTTCATTTCCCAATATATCCCTTTCCTTTCTCCACCCAGAAAACAATCTCATAACGAAGAATAAAAAAGACAGAGAAATCAGTTGAGCAAAATTAACCTTAGAATTGAACATGTCTAAAAGTCTATCTAATGTTTCACGTACAGAGTTTCTCACTTTTACAAGAAAGTAGGAAGATAAATTCCATCTCATATCCTTTCTTTGAGGATAACTTAGTCATAATTTAGCAGTTTTTATTATTTTTTACAATGACATTGTTCCAGACATTATGTATGTTGCTTTCCTCGTTCTCTTTACTTTACTCTGCATCAGTTCACAAAAATCCTCCCATTCTTTGCTCAGTTAATCATATTTATAATTTTTACAGCATTATAACATTTCATTATATTTATATACCAAAACTTGTTTAGCCATTCCCCAAACTGATGAGCATCTACTTTGTTTATAATTCTTTGGTACTACAAAAATATTGCTATAAATACTTTGGTTTATAGGTGGCTTTCCTGCTTTTTGTCATTGGTGCCCTTCAGATATATGCCTGGCAGTGGAATCAACGGGTGAAAGGGTATGGAGTTTTTGTTCACTTTCTTTGAATAATTTCATATTGCTTTCCAGGATGACTGGACCAATTTATGAGCCCACCCATGATATGTTAGTGTGCCTGTTTATCCATAACAGGCCTCTAGGTGGCACAGTAGAGAGAGCACTAGGCTTGGAGTCAGGAAGACTCATCTTCATGAGTTCAAATCTGGAAGAATCAATGTCCAACCAAAGGAGTAGAAAGTGTCCAGGAGAAAAGGGTGATCAGCAATATCAAAAAATACAGAGTGGACAAGGAAAAGAAGGCCTAAGAAAAAGCCATCAAATTCATTAGTTAAGAGATCTTTGACTGCTAGAGGGCTTATGGAAAATTGTTGTTTAGTCATTTTAGTTGTGTCTACCTCTTTGTGACCCCATCTGGCATTTTCTTCGTGGATATACTGTGAGTGATTTGCCATTTCCTTCTCCAGCTCATTTTATAGATGAGGAAACTGAGGCAAACAGAATAAAGTGACTTGCTCAGAGTCACACAGCTAGCAAGTGTCTGAGGCTAGATTTGAACTCTGGACTTCCTGACTCCAGGCCCAGCACTTTATCCATTGTGTTGCCTAGCTGCCCTCTGTGAAGGGCAGTAATGTGTAAAAAGTTCACAGAATTAAGAGACAACCAGAGTATGAAGAGTTTCAAACATCAAATGGGCGAGTTTTTATTTTATTGAGGGAGCCACTAGGAGTTTTTGATCGGAGTCATCTCTGTGTTTGAGGAATATCACTGTGGTGGCTTTGGATTGGAAAGCAGAGAGACTGGAAGGAAGCAGGGGGGACTAATCTGGAGACTGCTGCAATATTCCATGTGCTAGATGATGAGGGACTGAGCTCTGGCTGTGGCCATGGAAGTGAAGAGAAGTGCAGGGCTGGGGAAATGTGAAACAGAATTGGCAAGACTTGGAACGCAATTAGGTGCCACGAGTTAGTGAGAGAGGAAAGGAAAGGGCGACTCTGAGGTTGCCAGCCTGGGTGACTGGAAGGATGTTGGTGTGTTCTAGACAAAAACAGTGAGAACAAGAGGAAGAGAGGGGCTCGTTGGTTTTATTTTGGTAATGAGAATACATTCTGTCAGGGACAGGCTAAGTTTGAGATGCCTATAGGACGTCCAGTTGGAAAGATCCAATAGGCATTCGTGGGTGCAAGAATGGAGTCTTGGAGACAGGTTCATCACCTAACTAACCATTAGACAGAGCTTTAGATGTCATCTGAATAGCAGTGTTAACTGAACCCAGGATGCTTATGGAATCAATTAAGTATATATAGAGGGAAGAGAAGAGGGTCCAGGACATAGCCTTGGGGGACAACTGCAGTTAAGTGTGGGACCCAGATGACAACCAAAAAGTAGCCAGGTAGTTAGAAGGAGGACCATGAGGGAGCAGTGTCAAAGAAACCCAAGCAGGAGAGAGTATCTAGGAAAAGGGGGGTGATCAACAAAGTCGAATGCTTCAGAGAAGCAGAAAAGGATGAGATTTGAGAAAAGGACACTGGGTTTGTCAAGAGATCTTTGATAACTTCGGAGTGAGCAATTTTAGTGAAAAGAGTATGGTTTCTGAAGGTTTCTAAAGCACTTCTTCAATAATCTTGTGAGGTTAAGTGATGTGAATACAGCTGCTTCCCTTTTATGAATGAGGAAGTTGAGGCTTAGATAGTTTGATATAATTTGGCTATGCAAAACCTTTTCCCCAAAGGGAAGAAATAGCTAGAATGACTAATGAGATCATAAACGAAACTGCTAATACCAAAGGGATTCTGCCAACCCTTGTGTTTCTTCTTATCTGACCTATTATGATGGGGGTATTCAGAGGAAGATGGAGTCTGTCTATTTACCCTGTAAATGGTTCAGGCTCAGGCTTCCTTTGTCTACCTCAATATCAACCCCCAGACCCCTACTTTCCTGGGTCAGTCTGCAGTTCTGCAGTTCTGGATGGGAATGGTGGGCTGGAATCATCCTTTGTGTGCCTCCATCTCTGGAACCAAAGTCAATATGGAAGCCCTGGATGGTAGGAAGAGGTGGTTAGGTATATACACCCTTCGTGTCTTTTCTGCAGTGATTCACAGGATCCCCAAACTTCATATTTGGGCTGGACCTTAGAGGTCAGCTAGTAGAATTCCAGCCACAGCACAACTGACAAGAGACCATTTGGGTTTTCCTCGAAGATCTCAAATGAGAAGCAGTTCTCTACCTGCCAAAGTGGCCTATTCCACTTTGGATCAGCTCAACTAATTAGGAAGTTTGTCCTGACATCAAGGGTAAGCCTTATTTTTTGCCTCTTTATAGCTTGTTCTGCCCACTGGGACATCTATAGGGTGCAGTAGAAAGAGTTCTGGGTCTGGAGTCAGGAAGACTTAAGTTCAAATCTGGCCTCAGATATTTACTAGATATGTGACCCATGGAAGTCACTTAATCTTTGTCACAGTTTCCTCTTCTGTGAAATGGGGATGATAATAATAGCACCTGTCTCTCAAGGTTGTTGTGAGGATAAGATGAGATAATGTTTATAAAGGGCTTGGCAAATCTTGAAGCATTGTATAAATGCTAACTACTGTCATTGTTCACATAGTATGTAGCCACTTTAATTGCCCTCCTTAGGACACTCATCGGCTTATCAGGGTCCTCCCTAAAATGTGTTGCCCAAAATGGAACTTAATACTCTTGATGTGGCTTGACCAGAATAGAAGACAACCCAATGATAATGTCTTTATTTTCATGTTCTCATTATGCATACTAACAACAAACTTTATAATTAGATCAGTTGATTGGGAGGTTCCATTTTTTATCTTGAAAATCTAAGATTGGACTGGCAAAGGTGAAGGGATTTTCTCACGGACCTATAACTTCTTGACATATCTGCCTTCCCTGTCTCTTCCCCACTAGGTAAGGGCTCCAAGACAGTCCTGACCTGCTCTTTCACTCAGGTCTCTGATGTTAAGTGGGAACCTTGAGACCCACAGAACTGTTCAACTTCATGCCAGGACTTTCCAGGACAGAAAAAGCGGTAGAGAAGTCTTGTTGTGGGCTGTTCAAACATTTTAGATCACTAGCTTGAAGATATCTTGGGGAGAAAGGGGAGTAAGAAGAAGGGGCTGAGCAAGCCCTACCTTCTGGGTCCTCAGGAGGCTTGGGTGGAGGTTGGGGACCAAAGCTGGGTCAGTATGAGCCGGAGTCAGTCTTTGACTACCTGATGAAGCTTCCTGGAAACTGTGATGCATGGGACAGGGAAGCCACTTAGCACCTCAGAAAAGAAGGACTTTTCTTTC